AGTTTATTAATATTTTAAAAAAAGTTTTATAATAAAGTTTATAAAATATGTTTTTAAAAATATATTTTATAAGCAAAGTATACTCTATATTATTAATAAATTATTATTTTATTTAAAAAATTAAATACAATTTAATTTTTCAAACAAATTTAACTAGAATACAGTTTAAAGAATAATAATATAGTAATAATACTATATTATAAGTTTTTTATTTTTTTTAAATATTAAGGTAAGTATTTGCAACTCAGAATTTTATTAATAATATACTTGGCTAATGATTGCATTATAACCACAAGAAACAATTATAAAAAGAGTATACAATTAACCACTTATACAACTTTAGTCATTATCTAATTTAAGTAGTCTATCCAAAGGTTTTATACTAGTTGCCATATCTGGAACCTGCTTATAGATTCTCTATTTGACTATTTTAGTTTCTGTATCCACCTATCTACTTTTGCTTACTAATAACCTTAGCTAATATTACTGAAAATATGCTATAACTACTAAGTCTTTAAAACAGATTTTTTTGGAATCTTTGATCTTATATTAAACCTTTCAGAATTTTTTGTATCCTATTTTTACAGCTAACTCAGTATTGCTATAGCTAAGACTAATACTAATAGTTAGAGCATACTATTAAATTGCTATGTTCTTGTAGAGTTTACCCTAACTTCAGTACTTACTTTACAACATTTTCATACTATTTTGATATTCAATTCAAGTTTTACTAAGCTGTTATTTTAGATAGTCTAAAAAGATAGATTATTATTATATATTTTTAGTTTATATGTTTGTCAGCATGTATCTATTTTCTTCAAAATCTGAAAATTTTGGCAGCCTGGTTGGTTCATCTGGTCCCTCCTTAAAGACTATTATATTTGCTCAGTTTTACAAGTTCTAGCTTCATTTTATAAGTTTAGTCTTTATAGTAGCATTGTCAAAAGTTTATATTATCTTTCTACTCAGATCTTCCAAGTAGGCTTCTGTCTTTTTATCTGGTTCTTGTAATTTATACAGTCTAAGAACTTATCTTGAGTTCATACTGTCTGGTACTGGTTTGTATTTCTTTATACAATATTGTATAAATGCCTAGACCTTTCAGTCATGCTGATATAATACAGATTACAGGTATCTAATTCTAATTAATTATAAAAGACAGTTAATCATAATATAAAAAGAATTGCAAATTTTTATCATTACTGAGATTTGAACTCTAAACTTTCACTTGGAAGTTGATAACTTATTCACTTTACTAGATTGTTACACCTCTTTTTCTGTATTAAAAATTATATTAGTTACAATATTTTAAAAGTTAATATTATTTAAGTTTTATTTAATTTAAAATAATTTTAATAATTTAACTAATAAATTTATTACTATAAATTAAATTATCATTATTATCAATATTAAATGTTTTATTCTTTATTACTATTTTTATTATTAAATTTAAAAATTCAGTTAATAGTTTTATAGTTATTTTCTTAATTTAAATAGTTAATAAATTTCCAAAACTGTTAGTTGTTTTCAAATCTTTATTTTAATACTTATTTAAAAAATTTAGTATAATATAATCTTTAATTTATAAAAAATATAATAAATTTAAAAAAAATTTTTTATATAATATTTTAAAAGAATAAGTATATAAATTTTAAAATTTTTGTATATAATTTTAGAAACCATATATAGTGAAACTTATAAATTTTTATAAATTTCAAATTTAATATTTTTTTATAGTATTAATAATAGTTACAAAATCCAAATTATTAATATAAGCATTATATATATTTTTTTTTAGTATTAAGATAAAGTTTTGCTTATATCTTTATTAATAATTTTAATATATATTTTAGTACAAAAGTACTAAAATAAATTAAGATTGTATATAACAAAATAAAAATTATATATAAAAATAAAAGTTTAGACTAGTTTATCTGTAATTTAAACTTATATAAATATTATATATCTTCTTTTTTTTTTTATTCTTTGACAGTCTTGTTGGAACTCAAATTCAAAATTTTACTATTTGAAATATTAACTATTTCTAGTAATCTACATTTTGAAATTGCAAGCTCAACATCATCTAAATATAGAAACTGTACTTAAATACAACTTGTCACACCAGTTTATGTCTAAAATAGAAGACTTTGTCAACTTTATCAAAAACTGAACTAGAAAGAATTAGTTCTATTCTGTACTATAAACATTATATATCATTTTAAAATTATATAAATAATAAAATCTTTTTAATTTCTAAATAATTTTTAAATTTTCTTAAATTAATAAAAATATTATTTAAGTTTTTAATTTTATTAACTAACTAATATATATATAAAAAATATAGTAATCTAATAAAATAAATATATTGTCAACCTCAAGTATCAAGTTTAAGGTTCAATTTTTATAAATGACAAATTTTGAAAATTATATTTGTGTTATGATAACTGTTTCTTATCGATTAGTTAAGTTCTAGGTATCTATAATCTTAGATATACTAAATTAGGTCTCATTTGATATTGAGAGCTCAAAACATATATACAAAATATAACATTATACATATATAGAGAAATATAAAAAATCAGTATTATCTAAAACTTTAGTGCAAATCTATACTAAGACCATCAAATATAGAAAGTTAAAAAACCAAAAAGATAAACTTACTTAGAAATCCTAAGTAAAAAGATAACACAAATTTTCAATAATACTGTTAAATCAATAAAAGTTTATAAAACACCTTTATAAAAATTGTTGAATAAATCAAATGACAAGATGTATAAAAAAACACATAACCAACTAAGTTATTAAAATCATTAAAAAAAAAAGATATATATCATACTAAATCATTTAGATTAGAAGTTTAGAATGTCTGTCAGTTCTAAGTTGTGACTAATAAGAAATAATATAAAAAAACATCAAAAAGACAAATACTAGAATTTGGATAAACTTTATAAGAGTAATAATGATTTAATAGATAAACCTAATTACAAGTGTTAATCTTAACTATAATAAAAAATTCAGATTAACAATAAATAGAAAATAAATAATTTGATTTGGTAGATTTATCTTAAAGATAAAATTATTCTAAAGATCTAAATACAAATAACCTAATAAAGTTGATACAAAGGTTTCAGATCAGAAAATTTAAATAAAACATCTAAACAAAAGTGTTAGATATAACAACTAGTAGAGAACCTTTGGATGAATACTTTAAATAGGTAATATAAAAAAGTTATATATGTAACTAGTTGTATACTTGTTGTAATGCCTAACAAAAACATTAATAAAGTTAAAAAACCAAAAAGAATCATCTTAAAAACCAAAAAAAAAATGTAACACATGAAATAATCTGAAAGAAAAGTCTAGAATAGTTCGATAAATGATCCTTGCTAAATAAGGTATAATCAATCATCAATAACCAAATTTGATACAAAATTAGCCAATCAAAATGAAACCTGCAATGCTGCATCCTAATACATTTCATGCTTACTGAAGTCAATTTTTCAAAAATTGACTGACTTAGTCAACTAAGTCGATTTTATTAGGAATGTTAATCGGTCTTTTGGGGCCGAATCCTACAAGGACCAGCAGGATCGGTAAGGACAGTCCTTAAATCACATGAAAACACAATACATTTTATAGAACTTGATCCTGAATTGAATTATTATAACAATACAAAATTAATTTGATTGAATGAATTTATTCGATAGATTCAATTCAGGATATGTTACAGGATCTAAGTCCTATAAAATGTATTGTATTTTCATGTGATTTAAAGGATCGAGTCCATGACTGTCTTTTTAGATCCTATTAATGCCAAACCAACTACAACCATATATGAGTGACGAAAAGAGAATTTGATTACACAATGATCAAATACGGGTAAAGTCGTTCTAACAGCTTGATAAAATGTACTTTAGTCTTCAACCAATACATTTTTTACGAACATTATATAACCTGGCGGATTCTAAAAAGAGATAAGTGTGTTCTAGAACTAATCAGTTTCTTCGGGGACCGATTCCAATAAGGTGAAGCTAGTGAATAAAGTGAATCGATTTACAGGTTTTCCATTTCCATCAAACATATAAAATTAATTAAACCTATATAATAGTAAAATCTCATCTAGTATTCAAAAGCTATTCAAAACTAAAAGAATAAACTAACAAATTTATTACAATGGCTAATAATAAAATAATATGATTAGTTACTTAGTAAAACGAACTGGTTGTTTGGTATTAAAGAACACTAGATACCTTTAACTAAATATCAAAGTAACAATTTAACAGCCTTAATGACAATTCAGATCCGAGCAAGTTAGAGATGTTTTTAAGTTTTTTAAAAGTCTAAAATTAAATCATTTATTTTGAATTTAGTTGATTGTAATTGTCCCTGCTGTTAAAGAAAAAACCAACACTAAATAAACTAATAATTACACGCCTGACAATGTTTCATTTTGCACTTTGCTTATACATTGTTGTATCAAGGATTTGTTTTCCACACATAGCACATATCCCTTGTTTGTAAGCGCAACCTATTATGGATTTATATAGTTAGTACATAGTTTTGATAAAAAACGATTTCGTCCACTTTTTCCATAAAAACTTTACTTTGGCAATAATGAGCATGTTCTTGATGTACTCGAGATTTGCAAACTTTGCACTTATTTTCGTATGGTTTAAACCTTTCGATAATATATATGTTAATATACGAAGGTAGAAATTAAAACATGTACAAATAATAAATAGATACTTACCGACTTTTTCCGGGCTTGCTTAATAATTTGTTCTCATGTAGCTTTCTGTCTGTACCAACTTTATCGAAAATTAGGTAAGTTTAAAAAGCTTAGAGTTAGAATTAACATAGATCATACATACCTGCTACGTTTCTTGATCCTTCTTTCCATTTGTCTGGACAAATAACTTTAGCCAACTTTTTTTCGCCTGAAAAAGATAAATTTTATATATAATTATTCAATAAATTAATCATAAGTATAGTGTGAAATGAGCATACACTTTGCGCAGACCATTATTAGTAGTTTTACATTCTTAAGCAAGAAATCGAAATGATGTGAATATTTATTTGAGTCCCAACCCTGCACGTGATATTAACCAAACAAAAAGTCTACGGACTCATGGTCAGACATTCGTTTGATTGGCTTATTTTATGCACTTTAGTACTTTTTGAGAATGTAACGTTTCACTAATAAAAAATCGCCGTGAAAGCCATTCTTAGCTTTAGACGAACGTTAATATTAACTGTGCAAAAGAATCAAAAAAGAATAATACTCCTGACTTACTTCATTTAGAAGACAAAAATGCCATTTACTAGTAGTATTACGGGCCCATGCGTGATTACAATATGTGGAAAAAAGTCAAACAGCTGGAAATCGTTAACTGAAAATGTTCTTACTAAAGGACAGTTAACGAAACTTTACCTTCTTATCTCAAAATAGGCGATATAATTTGTTTGAATTGCTACAATGGAATCGTAATGAAAAGCTCAGTTAAATTTCAGCAACATGCTCTAACTGATGTGAGACAACTTGAAACTGAAGAACCTGAAGTTGAGAATGTTGATGATCTGAGGCAATCTGAAGTTGAAGAAGCTGATGATGCTAATTTCTTGTCTTTTTCTAATGCAATAGGGATGATAATAAAAATTTTATTTGAATATGAAAAAAAAAAAAAAAAAAACTGATGATATATTTGTTTGATGAATTTTGAACAACTATGGAAGAGAAAGATTCAAGATTCAAATTGTTCTTTGATGAGTTGTATGTTTCATCTAATCCACAATCAAAAAATAAGGAAACACAAATCTGGATGAAAAAATAGTTTTTATTTGTATGTTATTTTTTTAATAGAATAAGAAATAAATTTGTGAATAATATTAAAAGAGATTTAATATTGTATTTAAATTTAATTGATGTTTCTAATACAATTATTGATATACTTGCAGATTTAGATATAACAGTTATATCTTGCTTAATTGTATATTTTAAGATTAATGTAATCAAAGAACATATTGAAATTGTTAATTCTGTACTTGCTAAACATATAGAAAAAGTAATGGTATTGAATATAGATGATTATCATAGTATTTATACTTTATGAATGCTTAATACAACAATTATGTTTATAATAACACATTTGATTATAATATTAATAAACTAATTAATAACTAGGCAGCTATTCCTTAAGAAAATATATATAATCTTTTATTAATTAATGTTTATTTAATTAAATTAAATATAAAAAATTGATTTATAATATCTTACAACTTTTTACATAATTATTGTTAGAAATTTTGCATAATTGATAATGATACAAGATTAAAACAAAAAAATAAAACACAACTCTCCCCAATGATCACTTGTACTGAATTTTACACCAACAAAAACAGAAAACTTATTGGAGAAAGCAGAAGAGGCTACTATATAAATAATGGTTTTTATAAAGGTCAAAGTGGTTCTTCTATATTGGACTCCTTTATATATTTAGCAAGCAAACTAAAAGCATACATATACAAGATAACTAGCAAGAGGCACCCTTGTATAACAAATTTTAGTAGAAGTTTTAGTTTCTATTAACAAAATTAAAATAGTAGATCTTATAGGAGAACAATAAGCAAGTTTTCAATACATTCACTAGAAATTCAAGAATACCTGCTAACTGAACATTACTACTATATTCCTCACTTAGTTTTTTGACAGAAGTTTTTACAAGAAGTAGGAATTTAGTATACCCCTTATGAAAGATCTACAAAAATCATCCATTTTGAGAATAGGAAAATCATTCTTTTTCTGGAATTAGGAATAACTCTAATCGGAGTGAAAGGGTCAGCTGTAGAACTGATGGAAAAGAAATTAAACATTGACATCTCTATCATTGAATGATATTTACATATAGTATAGACCTATTTCTAAAATAGAGACTAGGAGTAGTAGTACTATATAATTTTTACAATTTGCTCTGACTGGAGCTTCAGCCCTCTTTTTGTTTTTTCTTTTTCTTACTATTATGTGTTTGTTTTGCTGCTTTGTTTTGATTTGGATTTTGTTTATTTACTTTTGGTTTTTTTTTAGTCATGTTCTTATTTGTATTCATTTTTATAATACCCTTCTTTTTTCGGCCTTTTGAGAAAAAAAAAGAATTTAAAGAAAGGATTGAAGACAGTTAATGCTTGTCCCAGAGAGAGAAATCCTTTCTGGTATAGCTTTAAGTAGTCAGATAAGCAGTTTACCTCTAACTGGGATAGTGCAGCAGATCACATTTAGATACCAATAAGATGGCCAGGTGATGCTAGACTTAGTTATTAGGAAAATTCTATGTAGTTATTGTATATAGTTGCAAGAATCTTAATAAAGTACTAGCATGGCTGCTTAAGAGCAAAAAAAAAAAAAATTAGAATTAGTAGTGATTACAATATATATACTACTGAATAATAAGGTAGTAGAGAAAAACATTCAACAAAAGATTATAAAAATGATCTTAAAGAGGAAAAGACAAACACAAGTTATTGTAATAGGTGATTTTAACTATACAGTGGACAATATCTTAGACAGACAACATCCACAAACAACAAATTACAAAAGACTGCCAATATTTAATTGGATGAGACATGTATAGAGACATGAACCCAATAGGTCAACAATATACATGATCAAATGAAGAAGCAGCAACAAGAATTGACTATATATAGATATTAGATGAGGTTAGTTTTAGGTCTACAAAAGGCAGAAATTGAAGAGGTAGAAGAGATTACAGAGAGTAACCACAAAATAGTAACAGCTAAAATATGAATCAAACATATGACAACAGTTAAAAGCAAACCAGAGATTAAAAGAAAAAGACAATCAAGAACAATACTTATATGATTAAGCAAAATTGGAAGATTGAGAAAATTATGCACAAGAGTTACAGAAGTGATTAGAAAGGAAAAAGGTTTTAAAAGACATCCACAAGAAAAAACAAAATGAAAAGAGAAAAACAGAGAAGATAAACAATATATGAGACATAATAGAAGAAGCTATTATCATAGCAGCAAGTAAACATATACCTAAGAAAAAAGTATTTAACATGATAATGAACAAAAAAAGAAGTCAAAAGGAACAGCAACAAGAAGAAAACATTGTTAAGTTATAGAAACTAATTAAACATATAAAGGCTAAAAAAACATAAGCAGTAACAGAAGAGGAAAAAAGTAAAGTGAATAAACAATTAAAGATACTAGGCAAGAAAATTAGTGCAAAACTGCCAAAACTACAAAAACAATAGTCAAATGCATAGATAAAATATATAAAGGATTGAAGAAAGCTACTATTGGAAAAGAAAAAAAAGATCTAAGAGTGAATACAAAGAAAACAAATAGAAGAGAATATAGACAAAAGATATGAAATAATCAAAATGGATCAGAAAAAGATGATAGCAAATCTTTTAAATAGGCTTTATAAGAAAATTGTACTTAATAAATTTATCAAATAAATAGAAGAGAAAACAAATCTGCTAACAAGTTCAGAAGACATTAGAATAGGAGTAGCAGAACACTACAGAAAACAATTTAGAAAAAGAAATACAAGATTAGAAGAGATGTCTAAAGAGTAAAAAGAAATATATAAACTACAAGAAAACATTAAAAAAGAATAATACACAGAAGTAAAAAGAGAAATTGAAGAAATAAAATAAGAAGAAACATTAAGAAAACTGAAGACAAAAACAGCTCCAGGCATATTAGGCATAAGCTACACTCTAATAAGGCAAGCAGAAAAGAAAACATAAAAAATATTTAGAGATTTTGCAGACTTATGTCTAGAAGAAGGAAAGATACCAATGAAATAAAAGATAGCACAGGTCTATTCAAAACCTAATAATGTTATGTGGAAATATAGTTTAAACAATATATAATTGATAGCATTAATAAAAACATTTAGAAAGGTCATAACAAAGGTGATAACAAGAAGGCTTGCCAAAGTATTTACAGAAAAAGAAATACTCAAAGGACCAAATTATGCAGACCTTTCAGGCAACTCAACAGAACAACCAGTACACATTTTCAACATGATAATGGAAGAAGCAAAAAAGAAGGATAAAGAAGTATGAATACTTCTACAAGACATGAAAAAAGCATTTGACTCAGTTTTATTTGAGAGTCTAGAACTAGCACTGTGAAGGGTTAAAGTGTCTAAAAGAATAATAAAATACATCTTAGATCTGTTTCATGAAAGACAACTAAAAATTATCACAGCTTATGGCCTAACAGAAGAAATAATAGCAGAAAACAGTATAGATTAAAGAGAAGTAATATTACTATTAATTTGGTAACTATTCTATAATCTATTATTAATAAGAATATAAGAAGATAAAAATTTAGAATATATAGTAGAACAACAAATCAAAAGAGGAATGCAATGCAGCAATATTATGAAGTACCACCAAGCAGCTATTGCATATGCAGATAACATAAATTACAAATAGTAAAAAATAGCTAATAGAAATATTAAAAATAGCAGAAAAATTTTTTAAGATGAATGATATAGAGATAAATGGATCCAAATCAAAGCTGTTAATAATGAATACAAAAGTAAAGAAAAAGAAAGAAAATTGATCTTTGGAGGAAGTAAGATAATAAAAGAAGCAAAAAATAAGATAGTCTGCTTACTAGGAATATGGCTAAATAATAGAATAAGTGAAGTGCTAGTAAAAAAGAAAGCTAAAAAAATAATTAGCCAAACAATAAAAGATCTTAAATACAAAAAGATGACAATGAACCAGATTGTATATATAAACAATATGGTAATAATACCAAAATTAAATTATATACTACAGCTAACAAAAATGTTAAAAAGAAGCATAAGCAAAATACATCAATTAATAATAAGTTTAGCAAAGCAAAAAAGCAACTTACAAAAAACATTAGAAAACTGCATAATGAAACACAAAGTTCTTGAAAGCTGCAGAACATTACAACAAGAATTAACAACAAAACAAATAAGTGGCCTATTAGTAAGACTAAACAGACAAAATAGTC